GTCGTCGCCGTCGCCGTCGTCGCCGTCGCCGTCGTCGTCGCCGTCGCCGTCGTCGCCGTCGCCGTCGCCGTCGTCGTCGTCGTCGTCGACGTCGTCACCGTCGTCGACGTCGTCGACGTCGGCGGCGGCGGCGCGACGCAGCCCGTTCCGCTCCGCCCCGCTCCACGGGAGGCGGCGCACCTGGTCGTGGCCGGCAGCGACCGCACCATCTCCGCCTACCGCCTGCCGCTCCAGCGCGGCCGAGCCGGACCCGACGCCGGGCCGCCCAGGCGGCGGCGGCGCCGCTGCCGGCGCCAGTGCCAGCGCCGCCGACATCGTCGTCATCGCCGTCGTCGTCGTCGTCGTCCTCGTCGTCGTCGCTTCCCCAGATGATCCCCCAGGTCTTTCCTCGAGAGTCTTGCGAGGAGCTGTCTCCAGAGCTTTCCCCGCGCTCCCTCTGGATTCGTGGGTGCTGCTTTGTGGCGCACGCTCTTGAAAGCGCAAGCCTTGTTTTGTTTCTGGCCGCGTGGTGCCGCCTCTCGCTTGCACCACGAAAAATATGCGTTGGTTATCTGCACTGGAGCGGCGCTACAAAGTCGACGCGGCAATACATAAGCTTACATTTAGCAGGCCTTAGTGTTTTGTCCGAGCCCCCTGTATTCATTGGACTCCTCACTTGAACATTGATTTACATGTTTGCTTCAAGATTGGCCACACGATTCACTCGCCATGTAAATCTCCTAATCCTGAGGAAATTTAGATTGGGGAGTCGGGAGCTGGCCTTGCATTGGGATTGAGACAGCCAGCGAAGCTGGGGTGTAAGTTCTGATTTAAGTTATAAGCGGAGGTTCTGTTTGCAAAATGAAGATAAACTCTACCACCCTCTCCCCCCCGGACTTAACGACCCCCTTGGAGCAATGCAATTTACGGAAAGTTGTACCCTATCGTTCATTTTGTATGTGAAATCATGCGATCCCAGGCGACCAGGTATCGTCCCCCCACCTCTTCTTGCCTGTCAAGTCATATTATGCGCTCGCAGTCGTCAAAGATCATGCTGCAAGAGTCTGTGGCACATATCTAACCAAGTGCACACGCGAACGCACATGCCGAATACATACCGAACACGGCAGTTCTGCAATCATTTTTACATAAAACATCAAAGCCCTTTAGGCTTCTGACCTCAACAGATTGCAACAGTTCTGCTCGCGCGCATTGCTGAAATCTGATGGGAACTTCGCGGTTTGAGCAATCTCTTCCAGAACCAGCAATATCATCTCACCACGCGGTACATCTGCGTTGGCTTAGTATGCGCCAGGTGCAAGAAGCCTTCTACAGTAATACCATGCGGGCCACACGCTATCGCCTCCAAGCGTATCGAACAACTTCCAAAACCATCGTTCCTCGAAGCATGCCAAGGTAGAGCCGTGCAAGGCATAATAATCACCAACTGTTCGTCGACCAATGGTTTGCCAGGCTTATTGAATGTCTGTGCGCGCGCATTTCCTCACCATCACCATCATCAGCACCATCGAACCATCGCCGATATCGGCATCGCCAATCGCCGCCATTGCCGCCATCACCAGCAAATCACTTTCAAGACACATGGACATCTTCATCGTCATCGTATCCACGGGAGGGTGGGTGGGAGGGTGGGATGTTGGCGCGAGCAGTGGAGCTGACAATTCATTCTTGAATGCATTAGTAGCTTTAGAATTGCACCAGGTAGTCTGCACCTCGTAGACTGCTCCTGATCATGTCAGGCCTGGAGCTGGGAGCGGCCAAGAGGGGGGTGTCCAAGAGGGGGGGGTGCAAATCATGGCCGGCGGCATGTGCGCGGCCCAGCGGGGGGGCCGGGACCGTAATGAAATAAGAAGAGGCGCCATGAGATCCGGGGAGATCTCGTGGCCCCCGCCACGATATCCACACCCCCCTGGTCGTCACCCCCCTCTTTTCCGCCCCCGAGGGGCACCCCAGGGGGGGGGAAGGAGCTCCCCGGCGGAGCAGGCTGCGTCATCCCTCCCCCTCGGCAGGATGCCTCCGCCCGGCAGGTTGCTTCCGCGACGGCTGCCCTGTTTCGGTTTTTGCGTGGTGCCGAGAGGCGCGGCTCCAACGAGTTTAAGCAGCTCAGACATGTACTGTTACTGGTTGGCTCAGGGGAGGTCGATCTCTCCCTCCCTCCCTCTCTGCATATAGATATATATAAGCACTGATATACAGTATTACTAAACACTGAAATGCTCTTACTCATACGTATTAAATGGATAAAGGTAACATTAATCGTACGAGTATATAATGGTATAGACATGCACACAAACACACATACATACATACATGCATGCATACATACATACATACATACATACATACATACGTACGTACGTACGTACGTACATACATACATACATACATACACACATACATACACACATACATACATGCATGCATGCATGCATACATACATACATACATACATACATACATCCATACATACATACATACATACATACATACATACATATATACATACATACACATGTATGTATGTGCATACATATATACACATACATATCCCGGGGGATGAGGCCCCTGGCCTAATTAGCCCAAGGACCACGGCGGCGCATGGGAGGACCTGGGCTCCTGAAGGCCTCCCCACCAAGGCGTCCGATCGGCCTCCAGCCGTCCCCAAGACTTCAGTCGGGCCTGTCCCTCTACCGGGCCAGACGACAGGGGGGATGGGGAAAGGGGGGCGTACGAAATCTGCTGCGTGCAGCTGGTTTCGGCCCCGCCGCTGGGCCCATGCCTCGATACATGGCCGCCTTCCGGCGCCGGGAGGCGCCGGGAAAGTCAGCTACGTGAGCTGATTCTCAACCCCCCACCAAGTAGCCTGGAGATTTTGTATGTTTGTGCATGTTTGGATTCTGTGTTGACTGTATTGTATCTTTCGCCCAAGAGACGCCTGTAGACGGACATTGTGCCCAGGCCCCCACAGCGTCCCCAGAGGGCTCCAAGATGGCCCCCCGAACGGCATGGGGGGGGCTGAGATCGCCTCATTCCTTTCTTACACAAGCGCACATGTTCAGTACCTACACGTAGCGGGCAGCCCCAGCGCGCACCACGACCCCGCGCGCCGCCCAGGCCGCCCCCCAGACCAACCCGAGAAGCCCCCGAAGAGAGCCCGAAGACCGCCCCAGACGGCTCCAAGAGGGCCCAGGACGGCCCAGGCAGGCCCCTGCCGGCCCCCAGGGAGGCCCCGAGGCGGCCCCCAGACGTTCCAGGCGACGCCACAGCAGCCCCAACACACATAGCAGCCTAAAGAGCCCCCCCAAGAGAGCCCGACGGCAGCCCGCGAGGGCCTCGAGAAGGCCCAAGACGGCCCAGGAAGGCTCCTGCAGGCCCCCAGGGGGCCCCAAAGGATGCCCCCAGACACCCCCACGAGAGCCCACGGACGCCCACAGTCCAGGGCACATACAGCACAGAACAGCCCCGGGGCGGCCCCAGGGGGCTTCTCACATCGCCCAAAGATGCCCCGAACGGTTGCCCCGAGAGAGCCCCAACGGGGCCCCAAGGCTTCCCCCCAAACGGCCAGAGAGCCCTCCCAAACGGCTTCGGGTCTTGTGCCCCAGCGTGGCCCCAACACTCTCCCAGGTGCGCCAGAGGTGCCTTTCAGAGGACCGAAGACGCCCCCCAGGTGGACAACGACCCCGACATCGTCGATCCTCGAGCCTTGTATGCTCGACGACGACGACGATTCAGAGCCCCACGCCAAGCTAAGCCACGATCATCTACGCTGAGCTGTCGCGCTTCTCCTCAACCCTGTCCGCTTCATCTGGCAGTTGTCACTGCGACCGTCAGGACGCGAGTAGATGTTCTTCCTCATGCTGGTTGCGATTGTTTCCTCCTGCTTCCTCCCATCTCCTCTTCTTCCGCCTGGCGGCGCGCAAAGGCGGCGGGGCGAGAGGGCTGAAGCAGTCGTGGGGCCTGTCGGATGCCCTCCCGTCTTCTGGCGGGTGCTCCCAGACACCCATGAGACTTGCCCAGACTTGTTTCCCTTCGGTAGCAAATCATGGGAGCCTCATGTACCCTCGCGCTTCCGTCTTCAGAGCGCATTCGTATCGGATAGCGTCAGGCAGTCGATGATCTAGCGCCGAATTGGCGTCGATCAGCGTCGATGAGCGTCGAGCCGAAAGAGCCAACAAACTGGCATGGGAGGCACCCGTGAGTCACAGTCGGGGCCCTGAAGAAGGAACCCTTTTCGTTGGGGAGGGGCTCCGTGTTCCATAAGTGTTTCACAGCTTGCCTCAGATTTTCCGTAGGTCTTCGATACGAAATCGAAGTTCAATTTATGGAAAAGAGGGGCCTCGTTCCTTATTTTGGGTTCCTTAGGTCAATGCCCCGACCGTACCGCCGAACTTCTCCTTGCCTTGTGCGAAGGCCATTCCGCCTCGCCCTACTCCCTGCGGGCCGCCGGCCCTCCCCCCTCTCCTTCCCCGCCGCCCCAGGCTGCATTTCGTTCCGATCGATCCGATCCGAGGAGGATGAGGAGGAGGAGGAGGAGGCGGAGGAGGAGGAGGAGGAGGAGCAGGAGGAGGAGGAGTTGGAGGAGGAGGAGGAGGAGGAGGAGGAGCTGGAGGACCAGCAGGAGGAGGACATCGGCGATCCGATTCGAATTCGGACGATCCGATTCGGCCCGATGCTCGCATGGCGTCGTCGTGTATCCCGCCGGAAATTCACTGTTGGACGCCTGCGGTTGACTCCAAGTGGCCCGTTCCTGACTCGAGGCGCTCCACGAAGGGTTTCAGACGGCGCAACATAACGTTCCCCAGACGCTCCAAGAGGGGTCCCATACGACCCCCAGGAGCGCCCCGAACGGCAAACATAAATCATTTGTTTGCCTTTGGTGTTTGACGTTGTCTGGGGGGTGTCCGCCCATTCGGCTTCCGACGTTTCAGCCCAGCCCCAGAAGCACCACCCCAAGACACCTCCAAGACAACCCAACAAGACACCGAGTCGCGCCCAAGTCGCCGGAAAATCAACTCCACACGCCCGCGGTCGCCTCCTGTCGGCCTGCTACGTTCCCGAGGCGTTCCACGAAGGCGTACAGACGGCCCAGACCGCCCCCAGACGCTCCACGAGGCTTCACACACTGCCTTCAAAAGGGCCCCATGACGCAATATTCATTGGCTTCCATAGATTGTGTTGAACGTTTTTGGGAGCTCCTGCTTTTTCCAGTCAGAAGGTACCGGACAACTCACGAAATAATCAACACCCGAAGGAAAATTCAACCCGAAGG